AGAGGCCAGTTGTCCTGAGAACAACCTCTCCTAGTAATAAAAACTGAGACAAAGAAGGTGTTAAGTACCTCAGCCTTTTCCTCATCTTGGGTCACTCTGTTCCCTCCTCCTTTATAAAGGAAAACTGGAGGTACCTACTTTAAGGAAGTTCTTATCTGGATTTTAGATGCTTGGAAAGGCTCAATACCTATGACAGAGTCTTGATAAAAGTTTAGCTGATGCCAACATTTCCTGCTTAAGATGCTGATTCCAGGCTGTGTCATCATGGATAACCTCTGTGCTTGCTGAAGTGAACAGATCCACACTGAGGAGCCAGAGATCCTTGTACCTTTTGCTGTGCTGAACAAAGGAATAAAACTGTGTTCCATGTCTGCCCTGGGAGAATGGACTTGAAAAGAGCCATTTGCAGTTTGCATAAAGCCATGACTCTTGCACCACCAAACTGCTTCTCCATAAAATTAGGTGTTCTGTGTCCTTGAGCATGGAATTAAGCTTTGGCCTTTTCCTCTTTTGTTAAATGTTATTATGCAGAAAATGTCCCTCTTAGCATCCAACCTTAAAATAAAATTGGGAGCTAAGTAGAGCAACTTAGAAATTCCAAATCCCAATTTCCTCTTAGGAACCAATGATCATATTTCAAACTCTAAACCAGTAAGAGAAGTAGACTAATAAAAAGCAAACCCAGAAGTTTGAGGGGAAACCTGGTAACAATCTTAGAACACACTAAAAGTAGCTTCAAAGAGGAATGAAATAAGCATCATTCTTCAGAAGAGCCACAAAATATTTAGCAGGTTTAGTGAGTTATTCAAGGATTTACGATAAGGTTGGACTTGATGATCTTTGAGGTCTCTTCCAAGCTGGTTGATTCTGTGATTCTGTGACTCAGAGTTAATCTCTGTACATAAATAATTACTTTAAAATAAAGCATAACAATCAAAGAAATTTTAAACACATCCTGGAGAGTTGCCTTTTTTTCATTCTCAAAAATCAAGGGAGCTGAGAAGTCTCATGGCTCTAAGCAATCTTGCCTTGGAGACCTTCCCAAAAATGACTGAAATATGTATTTCTATAATTATCCTCTGCCCTAAAATGGTACATAATGAGGTACTGTTAAACTTTGATGCAATAAGCAAATAAGCCTAAAAACCCACCCTAGATGCTACTCAACCTTCATTAAGTTGACAGCAAATTAAACTTTGTCAGCTCAAAAGAATAACTGTTGGTCTGGAGTTCAGTACAGAAGGAGCAAAAAAAAAGTAATGAAAATAATCAGTGAGTAATTTCCTTCATGATATGGAAAATTACTAATCTGTATTCACAGAATCTTTAGCATTCCCAAGTGAACTAGTCAAGTATGCAAATAACTTGCAATTTCTGGATAATGCCCTTAACTTCAGGGGAACTCTTCTCTGTCCTCCTCTACTTAGGCACTTTTCTCATCAGACAAAAAATGTTACATTGAATTATTAAAGAACATTGGTTTATATGCCCAGAACCAACAGATATGAAGTTTTGTTTATAGTTTCAAGAAGGAAGGAAACCCTGAGAGAATAGCAAAAGACAATTAGAAAGCATTTAAGAATTTTCCAGTTCATTGCTTCTTGGACCAAATCACTTTGGACACTTTCTTGATTTTTTTTTTCCCTAGCCAATAGTCCATTGCCCTTAGCCTGTGTTGAAAATTGTCTCCCTCCAGTGATTGGATTAACCTAAAAAAATATTTATAAAATGTTTGCCTGTATTAGATACATTTGTAAGTTTATATCATTGTTTTAAATGCATTACAACATTTCTTGGAATGTTGTAAATAGGATGGAAAATGAATTTCAGTTGTTATCAATGGGACATGTCAAAATTACTAATCTGTGTTTCTTATTTCAGTGGAGGCACAATATTTTAAAGACATATATATAAGAAAAATCCAATCCTTTCTCTTTTTCTCTCCTTTCTTTCCAGCTGTGTCTTGTGGGATTCCTGACTCCCCTGGGAATGGTTCAGTTCTAGGCAATGAATTCACTCTGGGCAGTAGGTTGATATATGAATGTAATGAGGGCTTCAAGCTAGAATCCAGTCAGCAAGCAACAGCAGTGTGTCAAGAAGATGGATTATGGAGCAACAAGGGGAGGCCACCTGTTTGCAAATGTAAGTGGGCATGAATTTCTCAAGAATATTTCCCTTCAACTTGCTCAGGAAAATCTTCACTGGCAATGTTTAAATTTTAGAGACACAATGCCTTATGGAGGTCATTTGGGAATTATCATCATTTACCATGGGGAAAAGTAGAAGAAGCTATAAATTTGTCTAATTAAAACCCCCTTGTTTATCTGCTTCAATAATCCTGAATTAAAATTGTTCAATAATTCAATTTCCTGTAGGTTTTCTGATTATATATAACATGAACTTCTCCATTTTCACAGGAAGTTGCAAGCGTCGGTTTTATTTGTTTGGATATAGCTTCGAAAGTAATAAGAGCACAAATGGTTTTGTAAAATATTATCAGCACAGATAATTAAGTTAGATAATGGCTCTTCAGTCTTCATTTCTGCCTCCTGTCAGCACTAGCAATGTGCAGACTCCTCTACCATATGACATGGCCTCTCATTTGGGTTGTTCTGTCACTGCCTGGCTCTGTCCTGCATCAAACAAGGAACTGAGCCCAACTTTAGTGTGACTTGAAATACTGATTAGGACATAATCTCCAAGTTATTAACTGCTGTGATACCACTACTCTGCTCTGGTGAAACCCACCTGGAGTACTGTGTGTCTCTGGAGCTCTGTCAGCCTTGGGGCTGTGACACTGCCCTGGGAGCTGTTCAGGGCCCAAACACCTCTGGGGAAAGAAGAACCAGTTGCTAATGTCCAGCCTAACCCTGCCCTGACACAACTCCAGCCCATTCCCTGGCTCCTGTCCCTGGGCCCAGAGAGAAGAGCTCAGAGCTGTCCCTGCACTTCCTTCCCTGAGGGAGTTGTCCCAGCCATGAGCTCTGTGCTCAGTCTCCTCTTCTCCAGGCTGAGAATATCTCCTCCTACCTCTCTAGAGATAACTGTGTTGCTGTGATTCATTCTCACTCTTCCTTCATCCTTTTTGGACCAGTGATTCTCATTATTGTCCTCTGGACAATCTCCAACTGATCTACACCTTTCTTGAAGGGCAGTGCCTAAAAGTGTCCACAGCAATTCCATGGAGTACATAAAGAGGATTATTCCAAAGCAGCTGTGACCACCCAGACATGCTCTGCATTCCGAGCCACGTGCAGAGGGAAGGCAAAACTCCAGAGTATTGAACTCTGCTTCTTTCTCTCAGCAAAAACTGACAGGGTACAAAGCACAGAACTTGAATGATTAATCAGCAAAAACGTCAACAGATTTTTGTTGTTGTTGTTGTTGTTGAGGGAAGAGGCCAGATAAACTAACTGGGGATTAAACATAATGAATTAATAACACTAGAGCTGCAGTGAAAAAAAAAGAAAAATTAAAAAACAAACTTGTATTATGGAAACAATCATACCTAACCAGACAATGACTACCCTCTAAGACAAAGCTTAATTAGTAACATTTAGCACAACTTTCAACATTAAAAGGTTTTGTTGAATATTTTTAAGAGTCTTACAAAATACATATGACCTCTCCTCTCCATTTTCTAAACACTTTATTCAGTTTGTAAAAGAATCCCATTGCTTCTAAATCCAGAGGTGCTGAATTAAAGTGCAAGTGATCTCCATGACAATTTTGAGTCAATCCTTTCAAACCAGATTGCTATTCAGAGACAGACATGCTCTACCCAGAATTTCACACTTGCAAAGTGCAGAAAACTTAGCCAATCTGCATAACAACCTGGTTTTCAGCATTGCTTCTTTAAGATTAAACATGTTTAGTCTCAAGAAATCGAAACATCTCTGGCTTGATGAGTAGCAAACACAGCACACAAAGATAAATGGTAAATAAATGAGTCCATTTTATTCCCAAGTCTATTAAAACGAAGGTTGAAATCTGTGCACTTTGTTTTGCAGAGTCTCTCTGATAATATAATGCCTGAGGCAGATGTTTGAAAGTCCTTTCTTCTCATTAAAAGTGTTTACATCAGATTGGTAGCATAAAAAATCAGATTTGTGCTGGTCATACAGGAAGACATAGATGGGTCATGGATGTGAGGGTATTAATTTGTGACACAAAGTACTGATCAATAGATATCTCTTAAGAAAGCTTAACTGAATGACAAGTCTCTTGCTCCAGTTCTTCTGCACAGAGATCTCTAGCACATGCTGAAGGCAACTAGGGATGTCTGTATTGCTGTTTCTCAGAATCACAGAATTGTTTGAGTTGGAAAGAGTCTTAAGGTTCTTCTAATTCCAACTTCCCTACCACAGGCAGGAACACCTTCCACTAGACCATCCAGCCTGGCCTTGAACCTTCCCAGGGATGGAGCATCCACAGCTTCTCTGGGCACCCTGTGCCAGTGCCTCACCACCCTCAGAGTGAAGAATTTATTTCTAATCCCTAATCTAAACTCCCCCTCCTTTAGTTTGGAGCCATTCCCCCTAGTCCTATCAATACATGTCCATTAACTCAGACACTTTTTTTAAAAACATGTTTATTTATGTTTTTGCATACTTTTCACTGTGTGCTTATCACAGCTTCTCTGGGCACCCTGTGCCAGTGCCTCACCACCCTCAGAGTGAAGAATTTATTTCTAATCCCTAATCTAAACTCCCCCTCCTTTAGTTTGGAGCCATTCCCCCTAGTCCTATCAATACATGTCCATTAACTCAGACACTTTTTTTAAAAACATGTTTATTTATGTTTTTGCATACTTTTCACTGTGTGCTTATTTTTCTGGATAGCTTTCTCCTTTTCTGGATATCTTTTTTCTGGATC